GGAGGACCACACTGTCCACTGTCTTCACTGGCACAGTGCACTCCAGGCTTACGAAGCAACAAGTGGGTGAGTGTCCTTTCCTACAGTCCTTCCACTTTGAGAAGCATCTTCTGAGGTTGGGATTGCTCATCGGACTCCAGAAAAAACTGAAGGCTGGCCTCTATGGTGACAGATGTCTTCTGGGGGAGATACCAATGTCAGAAAAGCCTTGTGGCTTTTCATGACCATTCTGAATACTGTCTCTGTTGGACAGTGCTATGGGAACTTTGCCTGTAGTATGTCACAGCTTCCCCTGCATGTTGGTGCTCTGTTCCCAGAACCATTGATTATGAGGCCATGCCAACACTGTCTGCCTCCCTGACCATGGGAAGAACTGAGCAAAGTGTACTAAAGTCAGGAGCAGATTTTAGCATGGAGATTGGAGGAACCAGGAACTTTTCTCACAAGGATGAACATGTCAACTAGACACGTCTGCTGGACTCTGACTCTGGAAAGCATTCTGGATCTTCAGGAAAGTGATGGAGAGGAGATATCAACACATCCAGAGACCTGCACAATCCAGAGAAGATGAATGCCTCCTTCATTGAGGAATGCTATATGAACGGCTCTGGCTGGGGTCCCCATTCTGGGATCAGGTGCAACCACTGCCTACACAGGACATCTCAGATGACCCCATGTTTTATTTCCAGATATTTTTGTACAGAATCCAAAAGATTTCTAGATTCCAGACTTACATCCAAGATGCAGTGGGTAAAAGACAGAAGCGAGCCCATGCCATATACCCCACCCTCCCAATCTCCACTGAGTGCACCCAACAACTCAGGGCCTCTCCTACACAGCTTGCTAGGTGTGACCTTGGAACCCCACCATCCATCAAAAGCTGGGGCCTGGCCTGACACACTTGCTCTGTGACACTGTACAGTCCCTTTTTTGTCTCCATGCTTCAGTATTTTTCATGCATAAAGTCAAGGTGGTATGGGCTTGATGCCCTAGCCTAAGGAGTTTTAGTTCTGGCAATACAGCTCTCGCCCTGCATGTTACCTAGGCCTTGGGAACATGGGGAGCATCCTATGGATGCCAACCTGCAAGAGTATGGTCCATCAGTTCTCCAGATCCAGCATCAGTGAGAAGCACTTGATCAGACATATGTAGCAAGCCCTGTGTTGTGTTCCTACTACATGCTAATCAGTCTCTTTAACCTCTTCCTAATTAGGTCACAAGAAAGCTATCACTGTCTTCAGGATGCTGCAGATGGTGTGACTGTGCCCTTATGCAGAACATGGGCTGTGCAGTCACCAGAGCTTAGATTCCAGTCCCATCTGCTGCTGCCTGCTTGAGGGTGCTTGAGTTTGTTGCTCCATCTGCTGCCTCTGCAAACAGGGCTACTGGGCTCCCATCTTGCAAGGATGTTCTAAGGCCTAAGTGGAACAGCCACCATACCCAGCACATTGAATGGTAATGCTTTGCCAAGAACTCTGGTTATGACTGCAGCTATGATTGTCACTTCTACCAAAGATGTAACAAAGGGGGCCAAGGAAGGTGCACCCCTCATGACACTACAATAGTCTACATATTAGTCAAGGGTATGCCAATGGGTGTGGTGGCACACATCTGTAATCCCAGCACTCAGGAGGATTGAAAGTTTAAGGCCATCTTCAACTATACAGCAAGTTCAAGTCCACAAAAAATAAGACTCCAAGAGGAGAGGGTGAAGTTCTGAGGTGAGGCTGAGGCACAGTCACAAGACACCTAGAACCGGGCTGGTTGATCAATCAGTCTCTGGTTCTCCACTTGTGAAACAGAACACCGGTTCCACACAAAGGGGTAAAGGGATGTCCAAGAAAGATGTACCATTTCCCCATCAAGTGAAGGGCCAGGAGGGAAGACATGGCCAAAGACATGCTTGCTTAGCTGGGCAGTGCTGACATACACCTTTAATCCCAGCACTCAGGAGGCAAAGGCAGGTGGATCTCTGTGATTTCGAGGCCAGCCTGGTCTACAGAGTGAGTTCCAGGTCAGGCTCCAAAGCTACACAAAGAAATCCTATCTCGACAAACAAACAAACAACCCCCCCCAAAACAAGACAAAAAAAAGAGAGAAAAGAATGAAAGATATACTTGCTTCTCCTCTTTCTTGGCAGCTCCATTTGAAATCCCCCAGACTGTACCTGCCCTTCCTAGAGCCCAGCCTGAAACAGGAGTTCTCCAACACCAGGTCTGCCCACCGCTCCAGACAACAGCACATAGTCCGTGCAAGGGTTGACTGCTAGATATCTTACAGCAGCCACATGCTGGGCCCTTATGGGCAGCTCTCAAACATAAACCCAGTTGGCTCAGCTCTCCTTGTGCCACACATCTCTGCTACCCAGCCGAGCCCGCGGATCTAGGCACAGCCTTCAAGATACTTCAGGATACTGCAGGATCCTTCAGTATTTGTGGCTGCACTGTCCTAACACGGCCCTTTCCCTGAGGTTCCTGAGGCATTTCCGCTGGCCTACTGGGAAGGTTGCAGTGCGCTTTTTCCTCACGTTTAGCAACCTATTAAGGGCTGGTAAGATGGCTCAGCAGGGAAAGTATTTCCTGCCAAGCCTGACAATGTAAGTTTGAACCCTCAGACCCTCATGGTTGAAAGAGAATTGACTCTAGTAAGTTGTCCTCCCCAAATACATACGCCCAACACAGAGATAAGTAAAAATGTAAAAGGAACATGAAACCCACTGAATCATGCTAGTCTACAGCAGGACTCAGAAACCATTTTTAATGTTTTTCTTCTTTTTGCTTTCCTTCTCTTCCTATCCTTCTTCCTCCTCTTCTTTTAAATAGGGTCTTACTGTGCAGCCCAGGAAGATTAGAACTCACAAGCACTGAAGTTCAGGTGTGCACCACCACTCCCAGCTCAGAAACCACTCCTTCAACAATAGTTTATCTTTATACAAGATAACTGAAAACCCCCATTCACTCAGTACTTCCTGTGAATTCCTCACATTGTTCATTCCTAACATGCAACTGCATACCCTTTGGTCTCATTATGCAGCCAGCTCATGTATTTCCTACGGAAGGGGAAAGCCTCAGAGATGTTAACCCAGGCACCTATTACACAGCCAGTGAACAACAGACATGGCGACTGAATTCTGATTCCAGGTAATTGAGTCCAGGTTTTTGTTGTTGTCTTCAAAATATATGTTTAAAGCCGGGCGGTGGTGGCGCATGCCTTTAATCCCAGCACTCGGGAGGCAGAGGCAAGCGGATCTCTGTGAGTTCAAGGCCGGGCTGGACAAAACAATACAGAGAAACCCTATCTCGTAAAACCAAAAAAAAGAGTATGTTTAAAAGTGTGCACATGGACGCGCACACACGTGCGTGAGTGTGTGTGTATGTGTGTGTGCACATATGTGAACACAGATGCCTGTGGATGCCAGGGGCACCAGATTCCATGGAAGGGGAGTTACAGAAGGCTGTGAACCACTCAACATGGGTGCTTGGAGCTGAACTCAGGTTCCCTGGAAGAGCACCAAGCACTCTCAACTGCTTAGCCAGCTTTCCAGCCACAGAGGCAGGCTCTTAACCAAACAGTTATCCTCTTCTTCAGTTAGAGGAGGCAGCGAGGAGTGGCCCAGGGGAGAGCAAGGTGACAGCCTAAAATACAGCAAAAACAGAGGACTCCTATTGCCTTTATGGCATCCTAACCCATGGAAGCAAAGGCTAGCTGATCATCATGGCTGGAGGGACACAGATGTCCTTGTGCTTGCTGGCCTTCCCAGGCACCTCCATGACAGCCTTTCAGCATGCCCTGCTTCACCGTGTCATTCTTCTCCATCTGTTTTCCCAGCTTCCCTCCTGTGGACCACCTTCTTCATTCCACCCACCCCTGAGGGGCTGGGGGAGCAGTTTTCCCCAAAGGGCTCAGAGTTACTGATCCCTCTGTCCTGGGAGGCTTCACCTCTAGCTCTTGTCCCTGTCAAGACCTTAAAGCACATGTCACCCACAGCCATGAAGAGTGATGGAGTCAGGGAGGCTCAGGGACAAGGTATGCTTCCTTTCTTATTTCTCATAAGAAAATAAAATGAGTCACAGACAAGAGACTGATGGTCTTGATACTCAGCCTCAGGAGCAGGAGTGGAGGGGACAGTGGGGGATGCTGGTCAGCCAGAACACCTGAGTTCTAAACACTGACAATGAATTAACACTTTTCCTTCAGTTCCTTCCTTCTTTCCACCCTTCCTTTCATCCTTCCTTCCTTTCTTTTTTACAAACTACACAAGTGGGCTGGGCATGGCCATGAATGACACACTTCAATTCCTCTGTCAGTCTTGTGGTGGCACTGTTTATGTCGTGCTCTGACCCAAGGCACCTGTGCTTTCCAGCTCCTCTGTGTTTGGATGAGGCTATGGCCTAGGTTTTTACCAGCAGCCTTCAAGTGGAGAAGACTCATACAACCCCCGCCCCCCCGCCGGCCCCCCCCCGCAGCTCAGAGTTGTCTACTTATCTCCCTTTTCTCCTCCCCTGTGACCCTGGAGGCCACCTGGTACAGCTGGCACAGCAAGGCTGCAAGAGAGAAGCCATTGTTTCCTCCACACTACAGGAACATGAGACAGAGACATCTAGGGGAGGCCAGCATTGTCTGGCCTGGTATGTAACTGGAGTCAGGCTCGGCAGCATAAGAAGTATAGTCCTAGTGGTTTGGCATATTCCAGTTTTCAATTCATCTCATCCTACCTGACCTTATGTGATTCTTGACTCACCCACAGAAGTGGGATAAGACTTAGTTATTTCACGGAGAAGTAAACCAAAGCTTACGCAAGGCAGAATAGCTCTGAAGTGTGTGGCAACTGTGTAAAGGAGCTAGCACTTGCCTTCCAGATAGATTGCCTGCTCTTCCTACCTCTTAATTTAGAGCTGGTGTTTCCAACATGAGCTTCTTGGTGATCCATGGATCACTTGTTAGCTTGTACAAAAACCAGCTTCTGTGTGAGGCTAGCTGCTCAACAGTTAACCTCTTACCTTCCCAGTCGACTTGGTACCCTTCCAGATGCAGAAGTAGCAGATGGTCCAGGCCGCCAGGAGACACAATGCCAGCTCCCAACGGAGGTTCCCAATGTGCTCGATACCATCAGATATAGCTAGGACCCGGCGTCTGTAGAGAGAGGGTGGGAGTCACTGGATTGAAGACGTCCCATTGTACCCCTACCTGTGGCAGAGCCACAGCAATAAAGGAGCAAGGATGGGCTGTCCTCCAATACCACCACCCACCATCCTCTATCATTCATCAACTGTGAGATAGTGGGCTGGGCAGGAGGCCTCTGAAAAGGACAAGACCCAGCCTGTGGCTTTGTGGAACAATGCTCTAGAGGAAAATAAAAAACATATGACATAATGGACTTAGAAATCACCCTATAGAGTCTGGGACATCTAGGAGACTGCACTGCTATGTAAATAGTCTGTCTTCAAGAGGAATATTACACATTGCTGCCCTGCTGAACTCAAGGACGGCCACAGGACTAAGGAACATGTGTCAAGTCAAAAAGAAGCTTCTAGAGCCAGGTGCTAAGAAGCTTCTAGAGCCAGATGCTGTGGCTCTCCAATGTCTTCTTTTTCCCTTTGCTGCGATTATAGAAGTGTCAAGGTAGTTCTGTTCCTAAGGGACTGCCCAAGACACAGTGCGAGCAGTAAGTGAAGACTGTGGTTTGCATCACTCAGATCTCTGGAGCACTGCAACATAACTCAACCAATCTTTGCTGGTGCAGGAGCCCCTGGAAGCTTCCTGGGAGAAGGAGTGTAGGATCTACACTCTGAAGGAAGGAGTGGTGACTGTTCTAAAATAAGTGAAATCTTTAGACCTCTAGAGATAAGAGTATGGTGCATTCTGGGGGACAGATACATCGGGCACAGAGGACAGACGGAATGGTGGAAGGAGTAGACAGAGGAGGAATCCATGCCAAGGGAGAGGACTCACGCTAAGGGGAGGGGTGCCCATACCAAGAGGACCCAGGTCATAGAGTAGCGAGCATCCCAGATATGCCGTAAATGTCTCCACCATGGTCTTCTCTAAAGACCCATCAATTTTTCAGAGCTGACGCCTGCCTGGATCCCAGAGCCCACCCTGGGGTTGTGTTTCTTTAAAGTCAAACTTGCCACGCTCCATATTGTGTCCAGTCGTGGCACCAGCACAAACCCCCTCTACTCTTGCTCCATGAACCCCATTCTGGCTGCCAAGCCACCCCTACCAGACGGTGCCAGTCGCCTTTAGTGCTCTGAGAATGTCCCCGGAGAAAGGAACTCCCATCCCACCAAGCATGAAAGCCACCCTCAGTGTCTGTCTCCCTGGGAATCAGCTCGGGCCTGATTCTGCATTAATTACTCAATGACACCAATTAGCACTGGTCAGCAGGCTCCCTGCAGCCCCAGCCCCTGCTGGAGAAATCAGGCAGGCCCCCAGACAAAATCAGACTGTGGGCAGCCACCGGGTTACTAGAAACCAGCTCATGGAAGAAACGGGAGCAAACACCCTCAGTACTTATCTCCTAGGGGCCTACTACATGCTGGGCACTCCCTTAGGTTCCGAGAATAGGTCAGTATGTTCAACTAGGATAAACTAGGCAAAAGAGGAGTGCAAGTTAAGTAAGAAGAAAGGGGTCAGCTGGCCAGTCCCAGCAACCATGGTTCTTGATTCAAGTGTTTGAGCAGTCTTCAGCTTGAATTCATTGGAGGATCTCACACCTCATAAAGACCTTAAAGAAAGTCTAATGTGGAAACTGAGATGCACCTTTTCCCAGTAGACCCCTGGGAGCACTGGGCCATGTCTTACGTGGATTTCTTACCAAATGAAAAAGGTTTGGTCTCACCGAAGCAGGACCCCAGTAATGGAGAAGAGAGTGATAATTGCCACTTGAGTCATTTTTAACTTGGCCGTTTTCTTGACAGGAAATGGGGATGAAATTTCCTCTCCCTTTCTCTCCTGGCTCAGTTATATTCACTCTTCAAAGTATATCTTACCTATAATTTCTTACAAAGTTTTTTGGGGCTCCTGTGGCAGTCAGGATGGATTGAGTTTTGCTGTAGTAACAACCATACCCCCTAAAGATCTCAAAGGTGGAAAGCAACAATATTCTTTTCTTGCTCCTTTGAAGGAGTTACTGCAGGGATAGAATTTCTCACTAGAAATATCATCATTCCCTAAATTGTGGATGAAATTTCAGGGTGCCCAGTGCCTCTCCTGTCTGCATATTAGGAACCCAGTAGCAGGTGTACAACTATAGTCATACAAATTGCTACTCCAAATACCCATTGATTGGTGAGGAGGAATAACCTACACAAGACCTTAGGTCCCTGTGCATGGATATGACATGGCATGTTCTGCATCTGTCTATTCTAGGTTTGGGACAGTTCATCAAAATACATACAGGTTGCCAAGCTAATAAGGGTGTGTGTGTGTGTGTGTGTTTTCTTATTGGTGGACTTGTCTGATGAATTGGGGACCGGAAGTCTGAAAACAGAGGAAAGAGGGAGCAGGCCTGCTAGGAGGGAGCCGGCTGCATTGTGGAAGCTGCGAGGCTCAGAGGCCTCTGGCACCCCCTCACTTAACTGAACAATCTCATTTCCCAATTGGGAAGCAGCACACAAAAAAACCCACAGCTGATGAACTGCTCTTTTGTTCCACCAGACTCTATTTGAAAACTTCTTCAAACAATTTTCTTTACATTGAACCAGGGCTGTCACACAGAAGGTTCTGGAGAAAAGTGGGCTCAATGGGTGGGGTTATCAGCTTGCTGGACTGTGGGGTTGTTTTGAAGCCCACAAGGGCAGCTTTTGAGAGTGTGGGGGCTGGGGCACTCCACAGCAGAGACTCAGGGAAGGCACAGCGCTTCCTGGGAAAAAGCTTTCTTAGTGGCCCTCCCCCAAAAGTCCTGGAGCACAAGAGGCGGCTGAATGAGGAAGAGCTCCCTGCCAACAGGCTAGCCGGCAAGGACCCAGGACCGGACTTCTGGACACTGTGCCCAGAGCGGACACACTCAGCACTCAGGACTAGCCAGAGCTCCTAGGGGAGATGAGAGTATGCAACTCACACTAAATGATCACTATGAGATGGCTTTCGAGTAGATCCAGAGAAATCACCTTTTAGCATCTTTCTGGAGACTTCCCCCTAGAGGCTGAGATCTCAGCCTGGAGAGATAGGGCCAGGTGTCTCCAGTCCTTGGCACACACCAAACAGCTGGGCTCAAGCCCAGCTCTGTTTCCAGTCTGGTGCCCCTCTGTGGTTGGGGAACATCACCTCTTTGGGCCTCAGCTTCCCCATCTATAAAAAGGCATTAATGGTACCCCCTCCAAAGGCTACCCAGGCACGAAAGCATCTAACCCATCTCATGAGCCTTGAGGCAGGGACACATTATTATTGCTTCAAGGATGGAGAAACTGAGGTACAAGCAGGTTAAGGAACTTGGCTAGAGTCGCATTAGCAAGTGACGGAGCTTGGGTAGGAACCTGGAAACCTCTGTGCTAGACCTCGGGTCTCCCAGAGTTCCAACATCACCACCGTACTCCTTCCAGCTTTATTAACTCCAGCCCCAATCCAGAGCTACTCAAGGATCACTAGATTCAAGTGTTTACTGCACACCACTGGGATGGTGGATGCTGCGCCAAGTTTAGAGGTGCCATAAGAGCTCAGGACCCAGTGGAGAGGGATATAAGGAAACTGTCAGTCACGGAGAGAACACTGAAGTCTCAAGGCACAGTGGGACACTGTTACTTGGGTTAGCACCAATATCAGAATGTGGGGGTGGGTGGGGTTATCAAAGGTAGGAAGAAAGTTAGCAAAGAAGGCAGAGAGAGAGAGGGGAGAGGAGAGAGTGGGGGTGGGGGGCTTGGGAGCAGAAAGTCAACCCAGAGCAAAAGCTGAAGGCTAGAAAGGATGCTGTGGGGCATGTGTGACCAGCTCGGAAGCAGAGGTGCAGGGGAGGCCAAGCATGGCTTTGCAGTGTGTGGGGCTGCATCCCACAAGGGTGGTGGGTGCTGAGAAGAGTCTAAAGGGGGCGGCTCCCTGTTAGGCCAGACAGGTGATTCTGGAGACCCAGCTTCAGCTGTACTAAGAATGGATTATAAAGATGGAGCAGTGTGGGGTGCTCCGTGCAGACTTTGCCTTAGCAAATGGGGGCAGCTGGGTTCAATATAGAGATGAGGATGGATGAGTTTGTAAGTGGCAGAGGCAGAAGGTGACTGAAAAGGGCTGTGGACCCCTCAGATGAGGCGGGAAGGTCCATAGGAACAGCAGTGAGACAATGAGGCCTAGGGGAAACCACCCTTCTTTAAGACAAGATGGTGTCCTAATCTGCTTTCTATTTCTGTGACAAAATGCTATGACCAAAAGCAACTTGGAGAGGAAAGGGTTTATTTCATTTTACAGCTTGTAGTCTACCACAGGGAAGATAGGGCAGGACCCTGGAGGCAGGAGCTGAAGCAAGGGCCATGGAGACATGCTGCTTCTGGGCTTGCCCCTCATGGCTTCCTCAGTCTGCTTTCTTATACACCCAGGGCCCCCTGCCCAGGGGTGGCAATGCCCAAATGGACTGCCCTCCCACATTAATCACCAGTCAAGAAGATGTCCCACAGAAATTGCCTTCCGGACAGTTGATGGGGTCATTTTCTCAGTTGAAGTTCCCTTTTTCTCATTTAACTCTAGATTGTGTCAAGTTGAAACTAAGCAGCTCAGATGGATCAAGATAGGACACTCAGTAACTGAAAAACCTGGAGGTCACTGGGTCTCTAGATCCAAAGCTTGGGAAACAGAGGCAGGGTAAAGGGTCATACCTAAACCCTGGTTCTGGGCTTTCTGGGAGAGCTGGGAAAGGGAGATGACCTGTAACTAATCCCTGAACCCCAAGTCCAGGACACAAAAAGGAAGAGAAAACCCCTCAAGGGGGTACAGACAGGACAGGAAGACTGGGCAGCTTGGAGAAGACATGTCTAAGACACAACAGGGGGAATATGGGGGCAAGTGGCTGATCTGCCCACCATTAAGGAGCAGAGAGAGCTCCACTCTGCAGAGGAGACCTATGGGAATGGAGGTGAGCAGAGATCTCAGTGAGGTGGCTCTTTCAGGGAGTGAAGCTCCTGGGTTAGAGGGGGAGGGGCTAAAGGGAC